GTTTAGGAAGATAGATAGATAGATATATGGTGTTACAAACCTTTCGCTTCCGTTCAGTTCAAATCCAGAAATTTCAGAAAAATCTAAAATTATAAATGGAGATGCAGTGCATGTATTGTTTAATAAAATTTGCGGAATTTTCAATAAATTGCCAAAATCCACTCTTACCTGTATAATTTTTAATTACGGAAGCATAGGTGATGCTAATTAAACAAATGACTGCTATAACTACTAATTTCATTTCCTTTGTCATCTAAAATTATAATATTGGCTCTATTAAGCAGTGCGAGATATTTAAAAGTTCGGTGAAAAATACATCTACTTATAAATTTTAATCCATACCTTCAAAATAATATTTTGACAGAGTTTGCTACAATTTTGACTCTCATAAAATAAGTTAAGAGACAACAATGCTGAAACACGTAAAACTATATATAATACATAAATGACAGACAGTGAGAGAGAAAAAAAATAAAATTAATGAAACATTCTAAATAATTTTTTTATTTCATGATCGGATTTTAACGTACTGGGACTCAAATTTGATTGCTTGAGAGGTGACCTCAAATATGCTAATTAATTACTGCAAACGATATTTTAAGTTACGAAATCAAACGCAAAAATGTAATTTCTCTGAATAAACATACCACTCTTTTGATTGATTTAAATTTCTTGCGGTGAAAAAGATATTTACAATGTCGGTATAAAATGGATTCAACACATTTGGAATCTTAAAAACGATATCAAAAAATAACAGAAACATTGGAGTAAGATTGTCGGTTTATGGGGAGTAACAACCGCTAGAGAGAGAAACACAAACCAAAGAAAAACGCACTTTAATATATTTCCAAAGAAAAACAAACTTAAACTATATTTAATAAATGGAAAAACCTCCATGATAGGCAATTATAGCTTCAATCCCCTGAATCATTCTTTTTACGAGCTCTTAAATAATAATTGGCATTTTCTTCCACTTGGAATGAAGATGACATCTAATTTCTTTTAGAATTTTGGAAGATGGTTGAACTCCTTAATTCTGTGGTCCAATTTGTCCTAAAGGTTCTCGATAGGGAACAGGTCTCTAGGCTCTTAATAGAACAGTTCATTCAATTTAACCCTTTGCCACTAAGCAAATTCATGGTGGACGTCGCATCGTGAGAGCTAATGTTGTCCCGTAAGTAACATGGGTGCAAAACTTCGGCAGCACGCTGTTATCAAAAATAGTGCAAAATAGTGTTAGCGAGTTTACCATGATTTTGGACCGGATTTTACATTGTTTAAAGTGTTATTACACAATATATTATCCACTCTGTACACAAAACTCATTTTATAATTACAATATTTTGTTATAAAAAATGCATCATTTTTATACAGGCTGAAACTTTTAATTAGGATTCTAAGAGAATATGTTAAAGGCGATGTTTACGGAACACTTTTGTCAATAGTTTTAGAGACTTAGACTACAAAATAAATTGAGATCACTACATCTTCCATATAACAAATGTTTGATGAAAAGAAAAATGCGAATTTCTAGCACAACTATCACAGAAAGTTAAAATTGATTGTAATGCATTTTTGAAGGGTGAAAATTCTTTTATTTGAAGAAAATTCTTATACACCTTAAAACTTAAAAATGATAATAAAATTCTTGAAACAATTGTTTTTTAATTTTAAACGTTCACATTACAAACTTTTATTTTTCGTAGAAATTTGAAGCAGTGTCTGAAGTAGTTAGAAACTCATATTTTTTCCCATCCACCATTATTTATACAAATTTTTATATTAAGTCTGTGTAAAAGTGTTAATTGTACAGGAACAAAATAGTCAAAATTCTAATCATAAATATTAGTTCGGGAAATATTTATTTTAATAACTTATCACTGTAATTTTTAACAACTGTTAAAGGAACACTGCTTTCAAAACCTTCATCAAGTTTAAAAATTATATAGAATTAAAAATCTAAGTTAGTTTTAGTTTTTAAATTCTACACGGTTTAACAAATTACAATAAGTGTAAAAATTATGATCTGTTGATTAAAAATTGCATGAATAAAATGTGAAAAAGAACATATGTTACTTCCAAATCATTTATACTTATTTCAGATACTTAATTTTTTAGGGGCTATATTAATTTTTAGCTTCTTATTATTTAATTGAAAATATCATTTCTAATTAACACATTTTTTTATTTTAATTAAAGTATCTCTATTCATAGCGGTGTACAACAGTGTACTGGAAATAAAAGTTGTATGATCAGTATAGTGAAAATTCAAGAGTTTATATCAGTTGTCGATACAACATTTTCTTTTTAACTAAAGGGCCATTAATTTTTTTTATGTCACTTGATCGTGCTCATTTTACAATGCGAGGGGAGAAAAAAGATTTAACTTTTGAACTTTATTAAAGCTTTATATTATAATTTACAATTATTAAAGCGTAGATAAACAGAGCAAAATATTTCTGTTTTTTATTATCTATAAATTCGTTGGTATAAAAGTAAAACAAAATATAACAAAAATTAGGTTTAAGCACTTACTAGTTTTTTTGAAATCAGAAAACTTTAGACAGAAATGATATTTTTTTTAGCAATTTGGGTGATATATATTTCTTTTTCTTAAGTTCTAACTATAAAAAAAAAATCCAAAGACAATCAGTGTTTGATTTCGTGTGCACATGTGTAAATCAATCACAGTTGACACATTTCTTATTTACAATATTACAGGTATGATCTTTTTTAATACAAATGTTTCTTTCAACTATTGTGGTACTTCAGAACTGAAAAAAAATGTGTTTCAGTGCATTTAAAATAAAATAAAAAATAGTAAAAACAAAAAACTGATTCAATCAAGATTTAAGCATTTGTCCGTAAGAAGATTATACAACTTATGTTTCTAAAGATCTAAATCAGTTTAGGAAGTTCTAAATTTTTTTAATTTGTCTTTCCTCTTCTTCTATTTGTTATAACAAAGAAAATACTACTACCTTAGTGTCGCTTGCTTTAATGTTTGTCAATATTTAAGTTTCATTCGCCTAGATTTAAGAAACAAGCAGATACAGTACTTATAATGGCAATACTAGAAATATTTAATACTACATTTAATTGAGCATAAAGCGAATTTTTTTAAGCCGTTCATTAATTCGTTCGCCAAAGGTTTTTTTAATTTTTTTTATTTATTTCCAATGAGCAGCACAAGTGCGCACACATGAGCAGACCTAGTGCGTTCTCCAGAAGTGGTATTCACTCTTTCAGGACCACCACAATGGGTGAGATACCGTTGGCAATGTTAATTTGGAGGTCTAGTTTTTGCCACACTAGATGGCAGCACCTTATTTGGATGCTAAAGTGCACTAGGAATTTAATTTTGCCAGAAATGCCAAGAGCCAATAAGGCACTCCAGGGATATTTTACATGCCGCATAATCATACGACATGGCCGCTGAGAATTTTCTGCATCCCGAAAATTCGGTGTCTGGGCCGAGGATCGAACCGGCAGACTTGGGCTTAGAAGGCCGACGACAAACCAACTGCGTCACCCAGCCACCGTTCGCCAAAAGTAGCGACTGATGTTTCACTACACCAAACACCAAGAAATTATCTGAGGTGCTTCACCAAGTATTTACCGTCATTTTTGTTGTTAAATACTAAAATTTTTTACAGTTTACAGTGTACATATATATTAGATGTCTGCAACCACAATACCCTATACCAAGGGTTTTCAACTTGCATGAAGATGGGGGCCGCAATTAAAAACACCAGTCAAATGGCGGGCCGCAACTTTATCAAAATTTTATATAGGACTCTTTTATGTTTGAAGGAACATTAAATACTACTGTCAGATTTTTATCAAGTTGTACAAAACAAAAGTATTGAATTATAAATTAAAATAACAAGTAGATTTTTAAAAATATTTAATTGCATATTAAGGAATTCTATAACTTTAATGTGCACCCATGTATTAAACAATTAATGTGCAACATATAGGTAACACAACTGACACTCATTGGCCAGGGACAGAGGAAGTGTACTTGCATTCGAAAGGAAACTTAATAAATAAGAATTATATTTTGCTTTTAAATATAAAGTTTTTGATAATATTAAAAAACAAAATAACAAGCACTACAAATAATGTCATTACTTATCATTTTGAATCTTCTCTTAATCAGAAACTAAATTATATTCACAAAATACAAAAAAAGCGAAATAAAAAAGGGCGACGTGCACGATTATTTTTGTATTTGAATAAATTGTTTCTTGAATGCAAAACATGAGTATTAAGTTTTTTTTTTTTGCATCGTTGGCATGTTAAATTTCACAGAAACGAAAAAATTAGGTTTTTTTAACGAATGAAAGGTATTTTAAACCCACATAGTTTTTTTACGAAAATTGTCCCCAAAGGACAACTAATATCTTCGCCGGCCACAAAAATAGGCTTCGCGGGACGGATGCGGCCCGCGAGGCTCCAGTTGGTAGCCACTGCCCTATACCAATATAATCTATTACCACAATTTGGTACTTACAACTCGAGAAGTAGACGATCACTGATACACAGACACGTGACCTATGACCTCAGCATCAGTTGATCGTTTATAAAAAAAAATGGCGAGTTAAAGTCGAGCTAAGTTTCTCCACATAAGTTAAAATTTTAATTAATGGGAATTTAATTAAATGCAACGCTGTATCGCATATCGAATTTATTAAAATATAATTATTTCTCATCTAGGTCTTTTACATAAGATTTATTATTTGTTTATGTATTTTATTGTAAACGTGATATATTTTTGTTTTTTGTACCTGACAACTTCGCTGCATAATTAGTTAGTTTATGTTCGACATGACCCCATGCCTATCTTTGTGTTAAGTATAATAGTATAAATATAAATTGAAAGAATTTAAATCTTTGTGAAAGAATATAGAATGTGTCACTCAAGAGGAATGATACTTGCGAGGCTGGGTTTACTTGAAATAGAATAGAAAGAACAGTTGCTAACGTAAACAAATACCATGTTTCAACAACTAATCAGGATTGAGATATCCACACTACATCACTTGCAGGCAATTTTTTATAGCTTGGAAACAGATAAGCACCAAATAAACTATGCTAAATACTTTCCACACTAAAATTGAAAACATTTTTTTTTAAATATAAAAGCTGGAAAAAACTTCTGCCATTTTTACTGTTTATGGAATTTCACTTATTTTTTGTCTACCTGTTTCAAAATTAAAAGTTTTTATCGATTCCTCTGTAAAGTTTAAGTGTGCATATGAGCGATAAAAAATAATTTTAATTATTAGAGTAGTATAAGATTTGAATTTGTTGAAAATCTGGAAAGTTTCTAGCAATTCTCTAAATAGTTTTTGTACTTTTTTTGAAGAAAAAAAAAAGCTTTGCATGATGGAGTTATCACAAATTTTATTTTGTACTATTAAACAAAGTTTATTTAAAATGACACCAGCATTGTGGGGGATAATGCCCCATTAAAATATATTTTCTTTCGCATACTTTTTTTCCATACACCATGACATATGTGTGTACGGGTGAACGATTATTGTAAGGTACTATTAATTAAATTTTGTCTTATAATACAAAATAGAATTTGTGGTTAACCCCTTATTATTCAGAGCTTTCTTTTAAAAAGTACAAAAACTACTTAGAAAGTTGCCAGAAACTTTTTAAATTTTCAAGATATTCAAATTATACTTTTCTCTTTAGCTACCAAATACAATTCGCTACAAAATTGTGAATTATTTTTGCATTTTTTCCTGGTATGCTTACAATGAAAGAACTATTTTTAAATGCTTATATCTTGCACAATTTTTTTTTTTAATTTAAAAATAATAATTTTGTAATTAATTTAAAAATGCTTCGAAAATTGTGTTTAAACTTTATTGAGAATCTTGAAAATTATGGCAAAAAACATTAAAACAAAATAGTTGGGGTTTTTTTTTATAAAAAAAATGTGCATATCGCTATAAATATTTAAGCTAAGTTTACGAAATTTTATGCAATTTTCGTAAATAACCACCTAAGCAATCGATACAAGTTACAAGCTCATTTACTTATTTTCTGACGTAGGATATTAAAAATACCTGTTTTGGTTCGTAATCTATTATCGGTATCTCAAACTTTTGAAAGTTTTAAACTTTACTGCTAAGTATGAGAAATCACATGACCTAAACACTTCTAAAGTTACAAAATAATCCTCTAAGTATTTTTTGAGAAATTAAAAAAAATGTCAAGAACTGAAAGTGTCTTTTCCATTAATGAAGGGTAGTGAATATTTAACCTTTTAAAGGTAGTTGAAATCGGACTATATAATAAATAACATCGAGGATTTTTTTTTGTTTTTTTTTTTTGGTTTTCTGTTGTGTAAGATTTTTTGAGAAATTTTAGATACTTTCGCATCGCTTATTTCAAATCTACAATAGATTTCTTTTTCTAAGCTACAGTTTTTTTTCCTAACAAACAAACATTTTTAGCCTATTTTTTGTCGAAATATACAAGTGTAAAAGCTTTATATGTAATTGGGAGTCACATAAATGTAGCGACTTACTTCTAGGGGAGTTCGAGAAAATCATCAGGATTAAAATTGCATAGTAACCCATGGCCAGAAATGTTGTCGTACGCCGCTTGGGGCGCTTTCCTTTTATGAATTGTTTCCTCGTGTGCTTCTGAACAGGCCATAATAGGGAAACATTTGATGATGACATTTCCCGTCTGGGTTCCAACACAATTTTAATCCTGATGATACAGTTTTTCGCAACATTTACTCGACTCCCTGTTATATATGACGTTTTTAGACTTGTACATTTCGATAAAAAAAAAGGATTAAAAATGTCAGTTTAGAAAAAATCTGTAGCTTTAGGAGCAAAAGTAATTTCAGATTTGAAATACCGACTCCCGACTTAGATAAGATCAAGTATTTGCATAAATGCAAAAAAAAAAAATTCCCCATNAAAAAAAAAAAAAAAAAAAAAAAAAAAAAAAAAAAAAAAAATTGCACCCCACTGTTATTTAAGTGTTTCGTCATTTTTGTTTATTTATTTACTTTTTTTACTATAAATTCAGCAATAAAATAAACAAAATTCTCTTTGGTATCAGCACGCATTCTTTCTTTTGATTTATTTTCATCAATCAACAATAACATTTAAAAATATTTACACTTGAATCCCATCAGAATTCTGCAGTTATTAATGATCTTCCTTTTCCTGTTTTATAAGATATTGTCATTTCAACGTACGACATATTTATAAATGTCCGATATCCAATCTCCAGTTTTTTGTAGAAGTGTCCCGGTCCTTTCGCACCAACATTTTTGAAGCTCTTGTTCTTTGACATTCTTACGCTTGTCTGAGTCTTTTGTCAATGCATAGCATTTGCATATAATATCAGAAAAACCATTTTGACAGCAGGCATCTTTGCTGTTTGTGCATTCCTCTTTTAGTTCAAGACATTTCACTCTAAAAGGAAATTTTAATAGTAAACATAAATAACAGACATAAATGTTTTTGAAAAATAAAATGATTTTGCTACTTAATAACTTGATTACGTGAGTGTGCAATGCGGTTCGAATCTTAAAATCGAAATTTTGATCTCAGACAGTTAATAATTTATAAGAGCTCAGTGTCAGATGATAATGAAAGGTTTAATTGCTTCTTGACTACTATCAGTAGAATTTTCTGCCAGAGAATTTTTTATATTTTTTCATAACCGTCGTTCAACACTTGACCCAATTTTTTGGGTTTACGACTTCCAATGTTCAACTCCGTAGCCTTGTTATTTTGAACCCAATACAGAAGACAAGGGAACTCCTGGATTAAGTATTAGGAGAAATTTGCCTTCATGGAGGACTTTTTGATGGACTTAACCCCATTTGCGTTTCATGAGGAGGAAAATCACGAAAACCTCCCACGGTTAAACTGACGGCCCAGGAGACTTTTACCCCTTGATCCGTCAACCACTGAAGATATTTTGCGTCAACACTGTCGTCGATGCAAGCCGTGTGCTGAATTCGTACGAACCAGCAATCGCTGGGATTCGAACGCGGTTCACCTCATTAGAAGGCGAACACTTTATCCCTGAGCCACTGTTCCGCCAGCGAATTTATCTCGAATCATATCTTTTTGAGGATTATCTGATTAAAAAAATCGGAAAACTCACATTTTAACATGGTTTTTCGAAGTTCTTTCGTCAAGGAAATGAGCTTTGCGTCAAGTTTCAAATTTTTAAAAATTACTCTGGATAGGAGAATTTTAAAAAAAACGAAAAAACAGAGCTTTACGGAGCTTTGTGTCAAGTTTCAATCATTTCAGAAGCAGAAATCAATCATTTCTAGCAGAATTTCAATCTATATTCTTCAGAGATAATTATTTCTTAGTTACATTCTCATGTAAAATATCCATAATTGGATGAATAATTACGTAAATACTCCGCAAATCGAAAATTATGATAACAAAGAAATTATGAGAGTGGCATTTTCAAGTAAAAGTTATAGAAAATGTCTTGAAACTCAATTTTCTTTGTTCGAATTATTTTAAAAATATAAAGAGCACAATTCATACATATTTTTTTCGTAATTCGACATACTATTCATATTGTATAAATACCTATGTATGTCATAGTATTCCTCATTCGGTTCAGCAAGTATTTCTGAAATAAGCAAATATAGAATTTAGGTAATTTGTTACAGGTATAAATAAACTATTTTCAAAAAAATAAATGTAAAAAAATACTCTAAACTATTTTAAATATTACTCTGTAATAAATAATAATCAAATTTTCTAATTTTTCATAATTTGACACTATAAACAATTTCATAGAGATATTAAAATATTCACATTGTCAAATTATATTATTTTATAACCGTCATTGAACAGATTACCCAATTTTTGGGTTTGCGACTACTAATTTTTAACTCCGTGGCCTTGTAATTTTGAACCCAATCCAGAAGACAAGGGAACTCTTGGATCAAGTATTGGAAAGAATTTGCCTTTGCAGAGGACTTTGCAGCTCTAACCAATGATCCGTCTACCACTGAGGATATTTTACGTCAGCACTTTGGTTGGAGCGAGCCGGGTGTGGAATTCAGCCATCCCTGGGATTCGAACTCGGTTGACCTCATTGGAGCTCAACCTTTATCCTCTGAGCCACCACTGCTCATTGTCAAATTATGTAAAAATTAGATATTTCATATGGTCAAATATATTCATATTGTTAAATTATGTAAGACTTTTTATGTGGATTTGAAAGAAACTGCGTTTTTAGCATTAACCTGAGTTTGAATGAAATAAGCTTTGAATTTAATTCGAAATTTTGAATTGTTTTTTTTTTCCCTTCAAATAGCGTTTATCATACTTTCAGTATACTTATTTGATCAAAAATTTGAAAAAATGAATAGTATATACCAAAAGTAATCGGCACCATTTATTTAAAAAATCAAATAAAAAAAATGAAAGGAAATAATCGCAACCTATGAAACTAGAAAATTAATTCTCACCAAGTTTCAAAATTTATTTCAAAGGTCTTCAACATATGACCCCTTTTAACCTACAATATCTATAAAATATTTTTCTTATAAAACATTTTCAGGTAACGTGTCGCAGTCTGAGGAATAAATTAACTAACGCCCTTGAAAATAACTTAATTAGAATGGTCTGATTTAGAGTGGGAAAAGTTTTATTCAGACAAAACGACTTTTGAAATTCGCAGCAGCCTTATTCGTGGATACTTAATAGAGAAGAGATGCTACTTTCTTATTTTTATTTCCACCTTATACAGTACAGAACCCGTTATCCGGAAATCAGAAAACCGGAAAACCAAAAAACCGGAACGTAATTCGATTAATTTTCTCGCCATTTTTTAAAAAAAAAATTTTTTTCCTCATAAGATTCTACGATTTTTCTTTCTTTTTTTAAAGATGTTTACTTTACCATCATTTTGGAAATAATCATTAGTGTATTACTTCATCGTTTTTTCTTATTTTTAAGATTATTTCCAAATTTTCTTCTTTTTAGTTGGGTTTAACAATAAAAAAAAACGGCTTTTTGTAGAGATTCAGAAAAGCGGAAAAATCAGTTATCCGGAATAGCGATGGTCCCGACCGTTCCGGATAACCGGTTCCCTAAAGATGAAAAGAAAAATTATAACTTTACTTTTAGTTAAGCTTATAGTATCGTGTAATCAATTCATCTCTAAGTAGACGTTTAATATAATTCTCGAAGACATATAACACACCCTCTTTCGAAGCTTAGACATGACTTTTGTCGCAGGTAATTTAATTAAAATTGAGTTTGTCCATTTTCTTAATGTTATTCTTTTGTCCCTGAATTTTTTTATGTTATTTACAGCTACGTACTCGTTTTATTCACTGTTTCTGTACACTAATTTAAAACTCGCTGTTCTAAACATATATTGCTCGTAAATATTTTTATTGTATGCATCACAGCATTTGAAAATGTTTTAAATTAATCAAAATATATAAATATTTAAAAAAAATTAAATTTGAATCAAAATTAAATTTAATAGTTAGTTTAAATCATTAGTTTTTTTGTTTCGAAACAAGCTTTTTTCTTTTCTTTTTAAAAAGGAACAGTTGTGAACCTTTTTTTTTTTGTTCAATCTGAAAATTTGTTCTTAAATTAATGGCATAACCAAGTACAGTATGCAAAAGGGCGCGGGGACCTCAAATTAAAGCAGTTATGATTTAAGTTACGAAATCAGACAAAAAAAGCTTACTTTCTCTGAATAAGCAAAAAAAAAATTTTTTTTTTTGACGGATTCATATTTTTGACCCCCAAAACAGAAGGGAGTAACCGCAATCTGAGAAATTTGGTCTCAATAGCTTGGTCAGGAAAGAAGCCCTAAGTTTGGACCCCTTAATGTTAAATTTACTTTTTGCGTATTTCACCATATCTCGAGAACTTTTTAAGCTAATTGAAAAATTTTTGCACTGAATTAAAAAACTCGGTTATCCAAAGAAAATTCCATGCAAAATCTAACTTTTAGTAAATATTTATAACTTTAAATCATTTTACTAAATAATATTTAGAAAATTATAAATTAAAAAGTATACATTTTAAAGAATGCAATTTTAAATAGCAAAATACAAAATTTCAGCGAAATTAGACGAATAGTTCTAATCGAATCTTAAAAAAGTAATTTATTTGAAGTTCGATTAATCAGAAATTCGATTCATTAAAAATTTTGATCTCTCTCCTGAACAAATTATTGAGAAAATATTTTCCTCGAATGCGGCTTATTTAGAGAAGAGATATGTTTATTCAGAGAAAGTACGTTTTGAGGACTGATTTCATGACTTAAAACATTGTCTGTTTTAATTAATAAGCATATTTGAGGTAATCTCTTTAAACCATTACGATTGAGTCCCAGAACTTGAAGATCCGATCATTAGATCAAAAGTTATTCAGGGTGATCCGATCCGTTTTTACATCCTTCCTTCCTAGCATAATCCTTCTACTGCGTATGGTGAATTACCATTAACATTTATGGCGAAACATTATTTCTCGGTTAATATAAATTCAATGCAAAAAAAAAAAAATCTTAGTATTAATTAGAACGTTTTGTCAAATAATTATCCCATAAAGAAAATTAAAATTTCGCAAAGTGAAGTATATTTTTATAATACAATGATTTCGATTTCAAATTATAATAACACAGTTCAATTTTTTGACAGTTAAATTGTTTATGATTTGTTACCAATTTCTCTAAAACACTCAATAATAAGCGCTCTTACCTTCTATTTCTTGTATAACAGAGCCACATGCAACAGAAATTGTGCCCAATGTAATCAAAACTATAGAGTATTTCATGACTTCCTAAATAAAAGGAGAGAACTGGTTAGATCGCTGAAGCATAACTCCGTAGAGGGAACTAAATGATAAAATATTCATAGCTCTTCATATAGTCACGTGACTTATCTTTAATATGTTGCCTTTGACCAGAAGTAGGTATTCTTTTCATGTGACTGCGAAAATTTTACATTTTTAACTAAACAGGGATTTAAAACTCTTAATAACGAATTCATGAATTTAACACTTACACGGTGTAATAAGCAAATTTAACTAATTATGATATAATTAAATGTGATTTAATATTGATTTAATGTAATCGTCGTTGAACAGCCGACCGAATTTTCAGTTTGCGGCTACCTATGTTCAACTCCGTAGCCTTGTAATTTTGAACCCAATCCAGAAGACAAGACTCAAGTATTGGGAGAAATTTGCCATCGTGGAGGAATTTTTGATGGAACTATCCCATATTTGCGTTACATGGAGAGGAAAACGACGAAGACCTACCTTCCATGGTTAGCTTGATGGCAAGATGACTCTAACCCATGATCCGTCTACCACTGAGGATATTTTAAGTAGGGAGCGGAATTCGAATAAACTAGACTTCGACGGATTCGAACCCGTTTCGCCTCATTGGGAGGCGAGCCCTCTATCCCTTGAGCCACCACAGCTCAATGTAATTTAATAGGCAAAAGCAATATTATGAAAAATGCGCGAATGTAGTTATCTAGGCTAAACAGATTGTAGCGCTGCTCTAGTGGTCGCTGGAGGAACTTTTCAGAGTTCGAATTTCGGAATTTTCCCCGAAATATACGTAATATTTCCTTACTTTAATTTAATTTACATTAATTTATTTCCCCCCCTATTACATTCATCGTGGAGTGCTGTGAATTTTGTTTTGTTTAATTCCTTTCATAAAAATTTTACTTACTTTTTACCACATCGCTATACAGCCGCACATACAACGACATAAATAACAAAAAAATAGAGTATAAAAAAATAATTAATTGTATTTTTTTCTCTTCTAAATCTTGTGGTTTCAATCTTCACTTTTTTTTTTTTTTTTTTTTTTTTTTTTTTTTTTTTTTTTTTTTTTTNTTTTTTTTGCCAAAGACTTTTTTATGTTAAATAAGTATTCTTTTTTAAGTATTTAAAACACGTTACCTAACGGTTTTCAGTATTTTTACCAAAAATATTCAGATGCTTTCATAAAATCTCGTGATTTGTCTGTTAAATGCTATTTAAACTATTTATTCATACCGGATGCGTTAAAAAATTTGAGGAAACTCTTATAACTCAAAAAATGTACCTGGGATCAAGAACCTAAATTTAAAAAAATAATAATAATGTTATCTCAAAATATAAAATAAAGAATGCTAAAAAAAGAATTAAAAAACAAGAACATACATATGCCGTTATTTTTTTTTCCATTCAATATGCTTTGAAAAAACAAGCCCTTTGGAAATATCACTAAGTTTACGAACTAATTTGAATGCTTTAATGATATTTTAATTTTTTGCGCAGTTCACTATCTCTTTAGAACTTTTTAAGCAAATCGAACAATTTTTTTGCACACAGTTGTAAAATTCTGTTATACAAAATTAGTTTAATGTAAAATAATTTTATTGCGTAGCTATTTATTGCTTTTTATTATTTTTTTAATAAGACTCGAGAAATTTTGGATTGTCAAGTGTACAAATTTTACACCATTTTTAAAAAATATTTCGCATCGAAATTTTTACATCGTTTTAGAGAAAGTTTCTGAGTTGTACAATTTTAATAAGTCGATCGTATATTTCAAATTTGATTTCTCGACAACTAGTCAACCGATTTTATCAAATTTTGATTTTAATAGACAAATAGACGTAAATTATTAGGCGTTTAATTAAATAGACGTAAAAATTTATACACATTACAATTCAAAAATTTTCGAATATTATTAAATAAAATATTTAAAAAGTAATATAAATAATTACTGCAAATTATTTTTACATGGAATTATTAAAGGATAAACCAGTTTTATAACTGTTTGCAAAAATGTTTCGATTCGGTAACAAAGTTCTCGAGTTGAGAAAAGTACACAAAAAGTGAAATTTAAGTTGTTCAAACTTTCGATAATTCTCTTGCCTATACTATTGGGGCTATAATTTCCATCTTGCAACTATCCTCCGTATGTTGAAGATTAGAAACCCATATCCATAGGGTGACCAGATTTTTTCGGGCAATTCCGGGGACACTCATCTCTCTCTTCCCCCCTCCCCCCCAAATTTTATCGACAGAAAAAATTGAAAAAAAAATTTGATCATTTATCTTTAAAAAAAAATTTTTTTTTTCGTTTACATTTTTTTAATAATTTATTATATAAATTATATCGTTAAAATCGTGATCATAACATTTTTACACAATTTTAAAAGTAATTAACAAAACAATTGTATTGCTTTTAAAATTATACTATTTCTAAACACNCATATCTTCGGATCATCCTCAGGGATGTTTCCCAGACCGTCGCCAATAGCCCATTGTGCAGCTCTAGTGCGACGTAAATGAACAACAACAACAACAAAATGTAGAATAATTAGAATTTATAAAAATTAATTAGTCGTAAGTGATAATAATAACAATTTCATAAAAAATGGTTTCATACTTTATTGGTTAGATATTTATAAAATGTTTACCTGATTATAAAATGTTTTAGTTATTTTTCTAAAATGAAACGGAAATGTAGTAATTGTTGTTTTTAGTGGAAATTAGCTAATATTGGCAGTTTATGTAACCCAAGATATTAATTGTTTTAAAAGCAGCAACTAATATTCACGTTACGTCTTGTTTTAAACTTCTTTTCTTATATAAACATGTCTGGCGCACAGCCTAGTAAAAATGTAAACATAACTAGATATTAAAGTTATGTGTTCCAAAATTTCTGTAGTATAAGTTATAGTGTATTCTTAAAAACTAGTTTACATTTAATTTTCAATGCTTACATTAATTTGTATGAAAATTTTTGAGAAAATAAAAATTACATATAACATATTTTTATCAAATATTTTACACAAAATTTTTCAATTTTATAACCGGGGACAAAACCGGGGACGCAAACCGACCGGGGACACGAGGTCCTCGCCGGGGACAATCCCCGGAAATCGGGGACGTCTGGTCACCCTACATATCCATCAACAACAACAGCAAAATATGTTTGAGTAGAGAAAGTATGTCTTTGTGTCCAATTTCGTAACTTAAAATATTTTCTGTCTGATCAATAAGTATATTATAACGCTCAATCTACAATCAATAAATGTTTTGCACTTTTAAAATTTTTGCGTTCAATTATTTTTAATTTAATTTAAAAATTAAATTCCTTATCAAAACAATCGTGACACTAATGAATCAATACTCTATGAAAAAATGGTATGAAAAAATTAACAAAACTAAACTCACCTGCGCGACAGCCCAAGGAGGGCCGAGGCTATGCCTTGATATATAAATGATACCTTGGTAAATAAATATTTTTATCTTAATATAAATGACCTTTTTAACTATAAAGATATACAATAAGCAAGTAAAGTTAATATTTCAGCATTAAAAAAATTTAAGCTTAACGAACATAACAGGAGATTGATCAATAAAAACCATAAACAAAAACAATGACAAATCACCATAATTAATTATAATTCGAAAATGAATAAACAGCAGCCATTTCATAACATTTCTTGTTGTTATGGTATCAATATTTAGTTATGATTCGTTATATTTAGTCGCGGTCGTAATGATTCGTTTTGCTTTTCCCATTTGTTTAAGTTAGAGACTGCTCTTTCCATTCTATTTCGAATTAACCAAGCCCGTCAAGTATCAATTCTCTACAGTGACACATTCTAAATTCTTTCATAATTAAAATTAGGAAAGAATTCCAATTAAAACAATCCGTAAAAAAGAAAGAATGCACTGAGATTAAAGTACGATTACATTAATTGTCAGCATAATTTTATTTAAAAAGAATTGTTTTCTAAAAATCCCTTGCTTATTTAAAAAATATATGTTATCAATATAAAATGCATTCATGCATGAAATAGAAATAATTAATATTTGAAAATCAAATGTTTGTCATTTTAAAATATTTATTAGCAACTGGAGGGCTCAGCTCATATTCGTCAGTTCCGAAACTGATTAAGCAGTTCCTTCTGGAATTTTTTAAAATGAAGTTCTAAAACTATGCAATATGTACGTTCTATGAAACCCGTGATTTATTTATATTTTACTCAATTTATATACAATTATGACTCGATTTTCTTAACGTATTTCAGTGCTATTTGGAAATTACATTTGGAACAGAAGATTAACAGAACAACTTAATACACAATTTAAAATTTCAGTGTTTGAAGGCACAACAGTTTCAAATTCTTCATCTTAACATAGACTGGTGAAATGCATAAAGGCCAAAAAAAAAGGTTGGAAAATGAAAAAAATAAAATTTGTTGACCAATCTGCTAAAATGCATCTCTCTCTCATTAATTATAAAGCATCATTAAAAATAAAATTTGAATTACTCTGTTATATACGCAAATTAATAAGTTTAGTTAAAAACAAAAAACATTGTTAGTTAAAAACAAAAACATTGTAGAACAGGTTGTCGTTTATATGATCTGTTCGCTTTTAACTTTTCATTCCAGCTTTTTGTTGCTAACGCGAGAAAGGAAATTTCTTCCGTTTTGTGACAATATATACACTTTAATTTTTTACAGGAAATAAATTATTGTTTATCCCTAAATTAATTAAAAAATGTTAGGAATATCTAAAATGCATTCCGTTTTAAAATATCTTAGAAAGTTTGGAATTTTTGCTGAAATGTGGCGTATTTCAGACAAGATTCATTAAAATAAAAAAAATATGAACAGGTTACTTTTATTCTCAGAGTAGAGTAAGCAGTTTAAAGTAAACATTCGTGAAATAGACTTCCAAAGTTTGCCAGTTTTAGAAAGTCGACAGTAAAAATAAAAAATTTTATTGATTGCAAAAGCTTATCTCTCGTTTATGACTATTTTCCTAAACTTAGTTAATTTATCTGACATTAAGGAAATATAAAAATAAACACGCGTTTAAATCGTTATGTTTAGCTCGAGAGTAATACTGATATAAGTTAAGTTATCTAGGACAATGATTACCAATTGGTGCTCAGTGGATCCCAAGAGTTCCGAACGTTAGGATTATTTTTAAATTAGTAACGATTATATTTAAATCATATCAATGATTCTATAAAGTCTAAAAATATTAAAAAAATAATTGACTAGCAAAAGCATGAATAAAAGTAAAAATATTAAAAAATAACGGGCTAGCAAAAGCATGAATAAAATAAACACATAAAGAGATAAACAATAAAATAAAAGCAGACGATAAAATTAGAACAACAGAGAGAAATGCAGAGCTATAAGCGATAAGCAGATCGAGAGCTCGCCGCACTTAACTATACTCAATACTCAATACAACAGAGTGTTGTTGATATTTTAGTGTAGTTTTTGGTTTTTGGATTTTGAAAGTTTATTCTAACCCGTTACGGGATTTTCTATATTTTTTTGAAAGATTATTATTAACCCTGTTGAAGTATCAGCAGCCAACAACTCAACTCTATCATAGTTGTATATTTTGATTAAGATATGCTGTTATTCGAATTTGTAATTAGGCTTCCAAAATTATTGTAATTTTTCATTTTATAAATTTCCATAGTGTTTATTTCGAATCTTTAAACAAACCCGTTACGGGTAATTTAATGTCGTTATTGTATTTGTGGTGGAGTGAAATAAACGTTTTTTTAATAAAACAAAGAACTGTTTCTTAATATAGATTGATAATTTGTTTAATATATTTCAGCTGTTTATATAAAAAAATTTTATGTAATGCCAAAGAATAAAAAGTAACAAAATTTTGAAGAAAAAAAATTGTTTTATTAACAATATATTGAATAATTTATGAAAAAGATATGCATTTATAATAATTTTTATAAATATTTCTCTTATTAATCTTTTAAATTCAAAATAAAGTAACGAAAACGAAGTATGAAGAAATGCGTTTCTCTGGTAACTATTCTCAATGTTTATTATAGTTCTTTTTTGAAAGCCATAAATCAACTTATTTGATTCATTTCCAGCATATGCATGCACCAAGAATAAATTCATCCTTAAATAATACTTCATTCTTCACATTAAGTATTTCTCAAATAATTAGTAGTTTCTTTTTCTTTTTTGTTTAACATATTTACAGTTGTTAATGAACTTTATTTACAATGCCGGAGTTCCGCCTAAAGGAGCTTCATCATTTAGTGTTCCACAACCAAAACAAACTGTGTTAACCGTTGATTTAGGGTTAAAAATTTAATTTCGCAACTTGTAAGTACCAACATGTTTCGCTTGGTAGCGTAACGTTTTACGATCCAACCTGATTTACAAATTTAACCTAATCAAGTTTAAAGTGAATGATGTGATGATTTTTACATAAAAAGAGTTGCTAGTTTTAATATTCAAGACATTTATAAGGACACAAAATCGGAAAACTTACAGGACTGGAATATACTTTAAGACATTCTTCTTTTATACACCAATTTTCGAGCCTGTTTTCATCCTGGCATGGAAAAGTTCTGTTCTGGTAAAGCTATTGAACTGTCAAATGCGATGTAATCTGATATTGTTTACAGCTGCACTATTTAGAAGTGAACCAGATGCTGAGAAATCAAGTACTTTCACTTAACAAGTGTGATCGAAAACCAATTTATTGTTTTTCTACTCAATATCCTATGTCTCCTTAAATGTTATGAGATTCAATACATTTAAAAGATTGTTTTGAGTTTTTCAAAAACAAATCTATTTTTTTCTATTGTTTTAACTACCATAAGAAATAAAATAGTGTTCGAAAAAGATTTTTCAAAATTTGAGCTTCTGCAGAAGTAATAATTTCTTGTAAAGAATTATACAGCATTTGCACCATGAACGAGTTAAACTTAATAGTGTTTTTTTGATGCCAGGAAAAATATATAATACAAAAATATAATTCAAGTTCCTTTCGCTTTTAGGCAACGCTAAAACTTTAAACTAGAAATACCATCTTGTTGTAAAGACTTATCTTGGCTTAAATACTTTTAATAATTGCCAATTTAGTAAGATTTTTCCACCTAGATGAAAAATATCAAAATCTATGTATAAGTTTTGAAAATATGTTTAAGAAAATATAATGTAGTGTCCGAGTAAAACTTCAAACATTAAAATTTAAATCACAAATGCTTTTCATTATAACAAAACTGCGAATTTTTCTTATTGAGACGCTTTGCGTCATTTTCAAATTTAGCATAGAGAGCGCTGGTTAAAAATTGGCTAAATTTGATCTTTAATCAACCATCTCATACAATCTAGCAACGGTTTTAAAAATAGCATATTACTTGCAAAAAATCTTTGATTCACATGATAGAGCTTTAAAAAAACAACCTTAAGGGTCCTATTCAGACCGAAAAGAGATTCTATTTCCTTGTTAACGTACCAAAAAATTTGAGAATGATAATTACTAATCTATTAATTCACTAAGTAATATTTTTGTGTAATTTTATTCATTGAAATGTATTTTGTTAAAGTATTTTTAAAACTTGAAGTTTTGAACAATGCAAAAGTTTAAAATTGCACCCTTAAAATGTAAAACTTACTAATTTAATGAATAAAATAAAACAAAAAAATATTCCAAAATAATAATTAGTTACTTAATTATTGAGGAAATTGCGTTCATATAACAGGTTAACATTTTAGCACTTTCTGTTTGAAGGAGATCTTTAAGGACTATCAACTGTGACGTCATCACACTTTTTCCAAAGTTTCTTATAGACCTATTTGCAACAGAGCCCTCTATCAACAATAATAGGAAATAGTAAGTTCATGTTGTGGATTTGAAGAAAAGATACTCGACAATTTATAATTTAGTATCTTTATAATTTAGTAGTTTAGTTAACTTTCTTTTTCACTAATTCATCATTCAATTCTTGATAAATTCATTAAAAAAATTTTATCAATACTGAAATATGAACAAAAATCTATATTTATAATTTATCAAACATAATTCAAACAGTAGAATTTATACTTACTTATTTTTCTATTTGTTTAAAAGTAGTAATGATGTAAGTCTACCATATAAATATGTATTATATTCAAAATGGAAATAAATTGAAAAAAAAAAGGTGTACATTCTGTGCATTTATAACACCCGACATACTTCATCGAATAAACTCTAAGTATTTTATGAAACTAAAATTAAAAATAACTTAAACGATTAAAGAGCATTTCATAAAACTAATTAATGAATTTAATTAATTTACAGATGATTAATAAAGGAAACGATTAAATCATCGCCCAATTAATGGTAAGGCTTGTTACTGCAGCGGGAGCTGCACATATTTCATCAGAAAAGTGTTACCATTTTGCTCTCTTTGAAAAAAACAAATTTTGTTTCTCTTTTATTCGTTCTAGAATTAGAAAGGAAATTATAAATATACTTAATGGCTTACATGCAGGTGACGTAGTATGGGTATCTCGATCCTGATTGGTTTTTTGAAAGGTAGCTTTTGTTTACGTTAGTAGCTATTCTTTCCTTCCTATTTCGAGTAAACCAAGCCCGACGAGTATCAATTCTCTTAAGTGACACATTTTATATTCTTTCACTATATATTCCTTAGTTAACACAAAGACAGGCAAGATGCCACGTAGAACATAAACAAACTAATTATGCATCGAAGTTGCCAGGTACACAAAACAAAAATATATCACGGTTACAATAAAATACATAAATAAATAATAGTTCTAAATTAAGTAAAAGATGCAGACGAGAAAGAATTATATTTCAACAAATTTGATGGGCGATACTAGGCTATATTTAATTAACTTCACGTTAATTAACATTCTAACTTACGTGGAGAAATTTTAGCTCATTTTTAACACGCCATTTCCAGAGATGCCAACTGCTCCGGACACGCCAAAATAATGAAAAAAACGGTAATTATCTACAAAGTAAATTTGCCAAATATTTAACTATTTTTGCTTGCTTTTTAAAAGGTATAGCGTTACACAAGTATTATAAAGTGGTGCATTATATAAGCCTACGAATTATTTAGAAATAGTGGTGGATAAAAATCTACCAAATTGAATTCATTAAACCAAGAATCACAATTGATAAACTACCACTTTAAAATATATATTTGTTGTCCGGAGCAAGTTGGCATCTCTGCATTTCTCTTATAAATGATCAGCTGGCACTGACGTCAAAGATCACATGTTTTGGTATCCGTGATCTTCTTCTTGAAGTGCAAGTACCCAATTGCGAGCAGCACATGCGAATCTTCAAATTTTTATAGCATTCATAAGAAAATTATAATTTTTGACTTTTGATGCAATTTTACAATTTTTTATTAAGAGAATGCAATTTTTAAAACATAGCAAATAATTTTTATATACCTTTGACGATAAATTCTTAAAAACTTTTAAAAGTTGACTTTTTAAATTTAAGAAAAGTAACGGCCTAAAAATATTAAGTTAGAATACAAAAAATTTGATTATCAACCATCTCATAAAAACAAAATTGGTAAATCTCATGAATAATTTAGTTAGTATCAATGAAATACGATTAAAAATATGATTTTACGAAAACCGCGATTGAAGTTTAAAGATTCGTAATAAAAGTAAATATTTTTCCGTTTTAGCAACTGTCCTAATTTTCAAATCTTAGCGACTGATTAGTTTCAAATCTAAGTCGAAAGGCATTTTTTACTTTAAATATGTTAAGGTTATAACGAATCAATTATTTTTTCTCTACTACGTTAATTAAAATCGAAGTAATTACAAGTACGCTACGAACTCTGGAAACATTTTTATCTATTTATTTAAACAATGCAACTAACAATTATTTATCAAAGTCATCTGGATAAATCAAACTGATAGAGATTTTAATAGAAATAATTTACAAAATAAACTGTAATAAGTATAACATATCAATCGAATCGATGGTCTCCAAACCATTATTTCAAATGTAGCATAAATTTGTAACAATGACCTAAAAGACGCATTTTTGCCAAGTCAGAGAATGAAACTAAGTTCTGAAGTAAGCAAGAAAAACTAATTAAGACTTATCGTAAACGTGTTAAATAGGATAAGCCCTGGAGTATAAAGCAAAATCATTCACAACATGAGACAGCTATGATTTAAAGTCATGCAGTGACGTTCATGTGGATGTCGGTTAATCGAGCACATCGGATAATTAAGAAGGTTATTTCGTATAAGAGTTTGTAAGACTTTTGTTGTGAGCACAAATGTGGTCCTTCTCTTTAATTTTAGGTTCACTAAAAACACAATCATATTTCTGTACCGTAAAAAATAAATGAATGTCTCTGACTGCTTGATTGCTGAATTATAATTATTTTTCTTATCTCTTCAGGAAATGTAACTTTATAGTTTCTGATTCAAACAAATATTTCTCATACTTTAAACAAAAAAAAAAATTTTTTTTTCTTTTTAAAATCAGAGAGGGAATGGTTCTGGCTAAATTTCTTTTCCTCGACAAAGTTTTTTTCTTCTTTAATGTTTCTTTACAAGTTTAGATTTTAAATTTTCTAAGAAGTTCAATTGATTAAACATTGAATTCATTTACAAAGAGTATTTTGAAAAACCACATTACGGTTTTCGTTTGAATTGTATTTTTAAATACGAATGAAAACGAATATATAGCAAATGTACCGTCGCATAAAATGTTTCACGATATAAAAGGGGTTCTTAAAAAGTTTAAGAAATAACAAATATTTCTATTTAATAAATATGAATAGCAAAACCCCTGAAATAGAAATGTTATACATCTTTTAAGAATTAATTAAATGCAAAAAGGAATGTTCACAAAGCTTTCATTAACATATATTTTTATTAATACATTTTTCAAGTATAAATATTTTTAAAATTCAAATAAGTAGAAAAAAAAATAGGAAAAAATACATTTTTGCAAATTCACAACTTTTTACGTATATTTCAATATAGTAAACATATATATGGAATATCTAGTACATGGAATGTCAAATAGTTGTACAATTTTTATAACTTATATCACTTGAAAATAAATTAATTTTTATTTCACACTCAATATATTATAAGCTCATTTGCATAAATATTCTATTACAGTAAATAAATATTTCTTTTAATACTTATTGAATATATTCCTTTCTACTTTTTGTAATAGATTTTATCTGATGCTTCTCTCAAATTTTAATGAAACGATGTTAACAACTAAAAAAAAAATTGATTTGAATTTTTAAAGAAAAGAAAGACTTAATTTAACAAAATAATTAAAAAGACGCATTTGAAATGATTTCTATAGAATTCCTTCAAAATTAAAGCCCTTTTAAATTCTTCCTTTGAAATTTTTTGAAGGAGAATAAGAATTTCTATAAAAAAATAACTATTCGGAAGATAAAACTGTTTGATTTTAAGACCTAAAACACAAATTTAAGCAATATATTAGCCCTTTCAGGGAAAAATCTATCTTAAAATATGAGCAAGAAAATAATTTAAAGAGTGCATTAATTGCTTATATTCTTCGTTTAAAAAGTAATCTTAAAATAAAGAAATTCTTTTATAAAAACAATACATATTAGAGGCAAATTAATGCATTTAAGAATTGATATAGGAGAACAATATTTTTAAGTAGTATAAAACCAATTTTTAATATCACATGCAACTTTAAAAATATTAAAATGTAAAATCCATGTTGCCTACATTCACTTTTTATTAAAACTTTTTTAAACAACCGTGTTTTATTACCACAGCAGAACATAATTAGGATAATCATAGCAGGAACAACATAACACATTTAAACTAAGTCAAATTCATACGCTTTTTTATGAATGCAAGAGCCAATTTTTGTGGTAATTCTTGCCAATATTCCAGAGTTTCTTTACATGTGTCAATTTGATCACCATGAAGTCGATCTAAAAGAGTTACGCACACTACAGCACCTGTAGAAGACATAACAACTATATTAACAAAAATGAATAAAAACCACAAATAAAGAATAAGTAAAAATATTCTTAGTCAATTAGTGTCCACACGGTTCTTTTTTGGAGGCGGTTCTAAAACTGCATCATTGTTGATATTGCTTTCGTGTCCTTGGATTTTCAAAGAACATCGAAAATCTGTACGATTGCGGCCGCCAACTTCAGTGCCTCTTGACTGTAGAGAACATATTTTAAGTTGTCCTCAAGTGACACCATTTCCTATTTCAGAACATGTGGTGTGAGTGTTAGGCACTCGAAAATGTGTCTTGGTGTTAACATGACACCAGAGCTGTTGCTGTAGGGAACACATGTCCTGGTCTTGTCTGGGAGAATCCTTATCCCTCTGAAATGATTGGTTTTAAGTCTTGCTAAAATTGATGTCGAATTTCTGGGACAAGCTTCATCATTATCTTTATCTTATAGAGATTTTTTTGATACCCGACAAAAATTATAATCTTTATGCCAGCATTTCTCTTGAATTTCATCGATTGCAGCCAAGAGCGCCGGCAGAATAATATAAAAGGGGGTGCAACCCTTTAACAAACTACCCTCCCCTCCCCCCGAAAAAAAATTAAAATATTCTGCTATTACATTGTGTTTTATTATTACATATACTTTCATCTGTTCATTTTTTCAAGATACATTTCTTCATTGTTAGCAATATATTTAAAAAAAAGTACGAATTTCTTGTACTTGCAAATTTTGGTCAAAGGCGATCGCGCTGGCATAGCTACTAACTTTAAAGCACAAATAAGTACAAACAGTAGTTTCGTATACGCTTTTGTGCACGCTTAACATTGGTATTTATTGTGTTGATGAAGTTTTACAGTTGCGAGAAGTCAGTTTGTGTTATACACCTTTGTTAAACTGAATAATTAATAGAAAATATAATATTATTTACATTTTATTGAACGAAATTTAAAAATATAGCTTCGATATCTGTCAAGTTTGTGAATGCTCAGTGTACATAAGAAAAGAATCAAAGATGACTCAGAATTAATTGAAAAAGTTATAAACAGATTTGGACAGCAAACAAGACGATTACAATTCTTGTTTGATTAAACAATTTTTTAATTGTTATGCATCAATAATTACTTAATTATTTGTTTTTCCATAAAATATGTTTAATAAAAAAATTTTATAACAAAATTTTTCTGTATATCTTTAATTGTTTAAAAAAAAACAGCCAGGGGGGTGCAAGTGCACCCCCTTGCACCCCGCTGCCGGCGCCCTTGATTGCAGCACATAAGGTTGTTCCAAGCCACGCAAAATTTGAAGTTTAACTCATTCGTTTAAAAATAATGCAAACGATAAAAAGTAGAACAGCTGACAGTTTGTGATTTTTATAAACTGTGTGCTATATGACAGAACAACGAATTTAGTTAATAAAATATTTTGCCCAATATTGAGTCAAAAGAGAATGTGAATCTGTCACTATAGGGTAAGTAAGTGGAATAAGTAAACCTAATAAGATATAAATGCATAAGTTAAATTATAACACATACTTATAATTGGAAAGGAACTTAAAATAGAATAATGAAAATATCATTCACCTTTAACACCGGCATGCTGGCAAATTGCCGCAAAAGCAAGTGATTCCATCTCAATATTCGTGATTCCTTTTGAATGAATTTCGTTCAAGAAGTCCATTTTATCTTCCATAGTATAATCACAAAAGGCACCATCTAATCTCCCTTGACCTACGTAAATAAGAAAAACAAGATATTCAGTATTTATGATTTAAATCATTAAACCACGAGATGCAGATGAAATAATTTTGACCATACTTAACAGCAGAGCATGACCACTTGCTTAGATTTTCATTTCAATTAAGGACGCATAAAAGCGGAAATTTTGAATATTGCGATTTGCACAAATGAACCTAAGAAAAAATTTCCAATTGACGAAAGTGTGTGTATAGAGTATACCTTATTTATATGTTTTTCTCTCAAATGCCATTTTATTTTACTAAAGATGACTTCGGAAAAGTGTGCTTCAACAATACAGAATTTGCATTGGAGATTGTTAGAATGTAAACAAGCACAGAAAATACAACTTATATCTTTAAAAGGTAGAGCAGTTTGCGACGTTTTGTTATGAAACAAAATCGATAGCATACTGTATGCATGCACCAATGAATTGTGTTTATTTGGGAAAATTTCGTTACCATAAAAATTTCTCGTATTTCTGGGCCAATCAGTATTTAGAAAATTTACGTGAAAAGCTCTTTGATTCACGTTTTTATATCGTTCCTATCAATGGCGATTTATCGTATATTATTTCTTCATTTTCACGCAAAGGTTACATATTTTTGACTTACCCAAGTAATTTTCTAAAAATGTGCTTAGAAGAAGTAGGAATAGCATTATGATAGACAACAATGTTCGTATTCCGTACATTTATTGTTTCTTGCAAAAGTACGACAAAAGAATCGGAAGTAAAATCCGATAGACTTTGCTCGAGATTAATTCGATACTAATAATGATTATGAAAACAAATTTTATAAATTAAAAAAATAATGTAAAAAGAAGAAACAAACACATTTACTTAAAAACAAATAAATAATCCCAATACACTGAAGCGGGAAGATATTACCCGATTAAAAACTTCATTTGCCACAAAAATAGATTTAAAAAAAGCTTTTTCAAATTTTGTCTGTCACCTTTATTTTTTTATTTTTCGTTGGCAACTTTACGTTTTCAAATCTCTTTTGTTTCTTCTCATTGACGTCTGGCAAGTCGTGAAAATGGGCGCCTATTTTGAAGCGCTGAAGCATGTCGATTGTTATTTCATCTTTTCTTAAACAGTTTTAAAGCGAATGAGGTTTTTCTTAATCAAGAAAGACATTTACTTATTTCAAGTAGATGTTTTTTTGTTGATAGAACTAACATGCATTTGCGTTGCGTGGAGAGGAAAACCACGAAAACCTCCCACTGTTAGCCTGAAAGCTACTCTAACCCTTGATCTGTCTACAACTGAAGATATTTTCAATCAGCACAATAAATTATGATTTAGATATTACCTGATTGAAAACTTCAATCGCTTCAATAAATAGCAAATAACAGTCTACATGTTTCAAGCAAAATAGGCCCACGTCTCTGAAGCCCTTGAAACATGTCGACTGTTATTTGCTATTTATATATTTTAGAAGTAAATGAAGTTTTTAATCAGGTGTAATATCTTACCACATCATTTTCTTGGGATTATTCATTTAATATGACTTAGATAATTTCCATGAATCAATAAGCCACAAATTTCTATAAAATAACGGTTAAAATACTGGTAACTTTTAATCTAAAAATTAAATTAGAATTAAAAAAAAATTATTTTATGCATTGACATTTGAAGGCCTTTATAATGTGGGGATATAGGCAGCTACCTCCTTAAACCCTGGGATAATCAGGCCCTGATTGTCTCAATATCAAAATTTGCCTTTTTAGATACTTTCCCGTGGGAATTATGCATAGATCGGGGAGTTAATAGAGTATCCAAACAATCATTGCGTGTCCGCACACGTAATTTTGTAACTAAATTCCGTAATAATTCCCGAAATCGCATAATTTTAAAATTGTCAGTTTCATAAAGATCAGTCGCTATTAATACAAATTAAAGGATATGAAAACGCCTAAAATATAGTGCGGCTTTCAGGAGAACTCCTCCAGACAACCGTCTCGCGTCGAGGTGGGTACTATGGTTACGAGCAAAGGTCAATTTGGATAGAGGTGTGGGGTGAATAGTTTTGTCTTAATCTTAGCGTCGTGAGTAAACCAATCGACAACTTCTTTCCTCCATTTCAGCCCCATTAGAAATGTGCTCTCGCTTGTTACCATAGCAGCAGATAGCCCCAGACTTTCAGTCTGGATGAGTTCTCTTCAAAGCCACACTATACATGGGAATGGCCTAAAACATTTATTCAACGCATATTTCGAAACAAGATAAAATATAAAGCTACCTTCGTAAAAGTCATCAGTACACATCGTTTTGCCCACAACCGTGCTACATTCGTTGAGCTCCGAGTCTGCGATTTCTTTTAATTCTTGAACCAAATCCTTATCTATAACTGCAGGTCTCTTTACAACTCTTCCAAGAATATGCTGAAAAGATTGAAGTTGAAAACATTTTTAAAAACATCAGCAAACATTAAACCGTTAAATATGGGAATCGTTCACTTTTCTATTAAAGAGTTATATTTAAAAATAAAAAAGGAAATGATTAAAAATAAAGCATTACCAGTTTTAAATAAGGATTAAGCAATCCATCAACGGCTTCAGATGTAATTACTAAGGTGCCACCAGGTAAACCTTAAAAATATATTTTTCCTTTAAAAAAATGTTAGCGATGAAAGTTTTTAGCATTTTTTGTTATTACACAGCATAAAATGCTCAGAAAAACTATTGAGTGATATTTACTCTGAAATGAACGATTGCAATTAATTAATAAAATAAAACTCCGTAATAATGAGCTTTATAAAGATGTAAAGAGAAAAATTATGTAAGAAATAATGTTGACAGTTCAAAAAAAAAAAAAAAAAAAAAAAAAAAAAANTTTCAGTCCCGTTGCCTTATCGGTTCCATTTCGATCCATTCCAGATTCAGCCGTTACTAATTCAACCCTTCTATTTTGAAATACTATTTCGTCAGACCGGACTGTGTAGGGGTCAGGGAACTGCCTTGCATCAGAAAGGTTCTGGGTTCGTATCCTGGACAAGACATGGATGTTCTTTCATTCTCTGTACTATCTGTCCTTACTGCGGGAGCAACGTTGCCCCACAGATTACTTATTTTACATAGCAACAAAACTGATCAATGTAAAAGAATCTCACCTTATAAAATTTCGATGATAAGAATCCTATATGAACAGTATAAACCAAAAGCGAGATTTAGTTAACCTATACCCCGCTGTTGTTGCTTTCGTGCAACAGTTTGTAGTGACCAAAAAAGAAAAAAAAACTTTTTGAAATACGCTGTTGTGAGCGTTAAAGATAAGTGGATAACTTCTACAACAATGTGACAAAGACTTTAGTTTTAAAAGACATCGCAAACGCATAATTTCAGATCAAAACACATATTAATATAATTTGTATACTTGTGCTATTAATGTACTTTGGAAAATACGGATATCTCTGTTTCATGGAAATAAATTTAAAAATTGAAATAATTGAGTTGCCAGTTTCATCTCTTAATTAATAGATTCAAATTATTTGAGTCACTATCGAAATTTAACCACTGTAAATAGGGTACCTAATATTTTTTCCATTTATTCTTATTACATTATTTATTATTCACGTATATTAGACTGGTGATACCGGGTCCTCCGAGATTTCTGGATTGAGGCTTCTTACCTATGCCCCCGCAAGTTCCGAGACGCAAGAAGGTGACATCTTCGCAATGAGCATGATGTATCAACTTGATGAGCTCGTGTAAAAGTATAGATAAAGATGGAATTCCCATACCATGCTGCAATAATAAATAACTTCATCAAGTATTTCTTTAGATGAAATGTGAAGATTCAGCAAAATAAGCAAAGATGGCACTCACACTAACTGATATCACAGGTCCGACTTTATACATGGAATATCTGTAAGAACGGGCACTTATATCATACAAGGCTGTTCCCGTGGGTAATTTTATGCCTAATTCTCTTTGTACAAAATGTGCAAACTTTTCCATCCTTCTAGGAGTACCTCCTGTACATACAAACTGAAATTAAAAAAACCATGGTGTAAAAGTTCATCAATAATAAGGTCATAAGAAAACAAACTACACTGCTGGACAATTGTTAAGGGTGGATGATAAAAGCAACGACAGTAACAACAAAGTTGACGACTGGAAAATGTGAAAATTAGCATAAGTGCGAGATACAGTAAGACGTGTTTTATGTATGCAAATTTGGGGAGGGGGGGGTGTTGAACTGGTTTGTCACACGACAGCGCTGAAAAGAGATAAAATAGATTTGACGCGAATAAAGCGTTGTTCAAAATTAAATTTTAAAGCGAAACAATCAATTGACGAACTTGATATTTTTGATATGTCTTTCCGACGTCATTTGGATGATTTTACGCGTGACTGCATTATTGGCATGATTTAAGAAGGCCGAAAAATAACAGAAGTTACCAAACAGTTCAATGTCAGCCACAGCGTTGTTTCAAGGATTTGGAAATCATTTCAAACAGCTGAAATGTGTAGCAGACATCACGGAGGAAGTCGTGTTCCATGTAAGACGCTTGCACAAGACGGGTACATAGAGTTATCGACAAAAAAGAACCGGCGCAGTTCAGGCAGTCTGGTAGCAAACCAGTTTCAAGTGAATCTCCTGAAAAACTGTGGCCAGACTCTAACAAGCAGGAGGACTATACAACCACCGACCTGTTTTGTGCATACTATTGTGTCCAGACGCCACCATAGCGCCTGTTTGCAATGGTGTCTTCTGCATCACAGTTTGAGCGAAAAGGATTGGGATTGCGTACTATTCTCAGATGAGAGTAGATTCAGATCTGATTGATTCAAATCCTTCCTCATCTAATTGTTGACCCCAAATAACCTGGCATGAGATTGGCACTCCGTATAGTCGAACAAGCATCCTACATGTACTATATATATATATATATATACGCAGTAGTATAGTACGTAGAACCCTTAAATTCAAAAAAATACAAAGAAAGCAAGGAAAGAAATAAAAATAATAAAAGGGAATAAAAAATTTTAAGATCAAGAAAGGAAATTTTTTTTAAGTGTTGCATTTTTTGTAAAAATTTTGAAGAAAAAAAATTAAAATTAGAAGAGATATAATTTCGACATCAGCTCACATGACTACGTCCACAAAAACAGCGCTTCCAAATACTGCATTAATATAGCCAAAGCAAAATACATCAATATAGTAGTGTGAAGAGAAAGAAAATAAAAGGAAGAAATTAAAATAAAAGGAAGAAATAAAAATAAAAGGATGAAAATAAAAGGAAGAAACTAATTCACGAAAAAAAATTCCCAAAATCCAAAAAAGTACAAAATTGCGCACCAATAGGACCATTTAAAGCGAGAAAGGTACTTACAAATATATAGTAAAAACGATTTAAAAAAAATTTCGTATATAAGTAGCCAGATTACAAATATGAAATTAAAATGTGAAACGTGGTAGCCGTGTATATTTAAGGCACGCTCATGCGAAAGCTATCAGCCGTATTTGATTTGTTTGTTAAATTGGGTTGACCCGAAAATTGAATGTGCGCAAGAATATATATTATACTAAATAATTCAAAATATTTAATTAATAAAAGGCAAAAATATAACTTTTGAATTCGATGGCTTTAATGAAAATTATTAACATTTATTGAATAGTATTAGTTATTTAATTGAATATTGAAAGAGGTTGTTTAGAAGATATAAAATTTATCAGCCACCTATTTTCCCGAATTGGATTTGCACATGGCAAAAATATCATTCTAGACAATTAAAAGATTTTATGTAAATAAATTCTTTAATTAATTTATAGACAATTAATTCAATAATTTTGTAAAGAATTGAATTTACATGTGCTGCATATCCGTTGTTTTTAATCATATTTCGCAAAATCATGTCTATTCGNTATATATATATATATATATATATATATATATATATATATGACGCTCTAATTACTAGCTAATAGTTACAAAAACAAATTGCTAGACTTTTGAATTTATATTTGCCCTAAAATATAAAATCCAAAAAAATGTAGTTTGGATTTTTTTCATACATATTCAAAGATTTATCAATTGATTTTGTAAATAAAAGAAATTTCAATGACGAATAACTGTTTCGATTGGAACTAAATAACTGCAAATTTGAAAAATTATTGTTTGGAAGTGAGTCGTGTCTGGAAGATTTTACCTTTAACGCAGAAGACACCGGAGCTTTATGCTATATTTCATAACCATCAATTATTAAAATGCCAAATATATTTTTCCCGACTTATTTTGATCCAAATTAATACAAAATAATGTAAAAAGAATGAAAAATAGGCGTAATAAAAATTCAGCGTTAAAGTGTTAATATATCGTCGCTTTGAAACTAAACCGTGATAACTAAAAAAAAGCAAGTTTTTCAGGAGAGCGATTTCTAACTTTTCGGGAACTTCCGCCGCAGCTTGATCCGAAGCTATGGCGACTACTGCAAAATAGTTTACATTAAAAAAAAATTTCGGAAATCACTGCCCTTCCTAAAACCAAGATGGAGAATCGCGCCATTGCTATAACGATTTATCTGGTCTCTAAATTAATTTTATGGAACTATGAAGATAACACGTTGCTTTTCTAAAAGGGTGATTTTTTTACACAAAATGACCCAAATATCTCATTTTTCGATTTTTTTTTAGTTACTACGGTTTAGTTTCAAGGTGACGATATGTTAGATTAAGCTTAAGTTTTACAATAATAACTGTCTGCGTTATAATCTATGTATTCACACACATACAAACCTTTACGTCTGAAAACATTTCTGGCAAATTATGAGTCTGAGTGTTTAGTGAAATATGATAAAGATGATCTACTCCTAGTTCTTCGATGTGAGGATTCTGTAAATCCACGCAACCAGTTTTTCTGGAAAACAAAACAAAACTAGCATTATTGATTTTAAAAAAAAAAAAAAATTATTGCTGAACTAAAATTTGTTGAACAAGTTTATTCATTTTTATTTACAGTTTAAATAAGAGAAATATGATAGAGTAAATTTGAAAACAGTGTTATTAATTCATAAACCAAAACCGTTTTATTAATTTCTTCTGAGGATGTTTAACTTTTTTTTCTTCAAATAAATGCCGTTTTGAAAAACATACTTTTTTTTATTCATTTGCCCTCAACATTTGTTGTTGTTCTTCTTCTTCAGCACGACAGCCCCTTACAGGCCTTGGCTGTCTCAGTAGCCTCCAGCGCCTCCTGTCCATGACGACTTTTTTCCAGTTGTTTATCTTCAATACTTTTAGATCTTTAGCAGTGTTACTGCATTCATACTTAACATTTTTTACTGCTTTAAAAACGTTTTTTTCCAAGGTCAATTAATTATTGAATACGAAATAGTATACAAAATACCAATCATATGAGGACAGTGTTAAAGTTTGTTATCATAATATTCCATGGATATAATATGAATTTAAAAATTCCTAATTATGCGCATTGCATCTTATTGTTGTTGTTGTCAATTTACGTCGCACTAGAGTTGCACAATGGGCTATTGGCGACGGTCTGGGAAACATCCCGGAGGATGATCCGAAGACATGCCATCACAATTTTGATCCTCTGCGGAGGGGATGGCACCCCCGCTTCGGTAGCCCGACGACCTGCGCGCGAAGTCGTGCACTTTACGGTAGCACAGTTTTACCAGGACTAATGCCGCACACCCTCGGTCCCTACGCAGGCTGATTCAAGTGGTCACCCACCCGCACACTGACCGCAGCCAGTGATGCTTGACTTCGGTGATCTGCTGGGAACCGTGTCTTGACGATTAGTCCACTGCGGGACTGCATTACATCTTAAATTATGTTAATAAAAATATGCAAGCATTCCTTCTAGTGTTTTTCCGCTCTTTCTTTGTACAATAAGCTAAATAAATAAAATCAAGGAAAAAATATATCACGTTGATTAATTTTGTTCCATAACGATCATATTTTCACGTACTAAAAACAAATCTTTATGGATAAAGGGTGGACATAAATTAGCTAATTAATTAGTTCTGACTATGAATTAAGTTAAAAAAATCAGACACGAAATAGGTTGAATTTGAAAAATAAAGATTTAAAAATACGACTTTTCAAAAGTTTTATATCTAAGAAATTTCCTACCGCTTTTCCAAGTTGCATATTTTGTTCTTTAAAATTAATTAGTTTAGAATTATTTGAAAATTATTTGAGCATTCGTATACCTTACATTTCAAAATTCTTTTAGACGAATATTGAATTAAATGATAAAAAAAATAATAAATAAATATAAAAATAATTTCTGGCATAAGTGAATATTTACAAAATTTTTCGATTAGCTTATAAAGTTTTTGATATTTAACGGAATACGCAAAAAGGGAAACTAACAATAAGCATTCTGTTGATCTCTTGACTATAAATTATTGGAACCATAGTTTTCAGATTGTGTATACCCACAAAGAATCGAAATCCACCGAAACAATGTTAGTTCATTTAAAGAAAGTACGTCCATGTGTCAGATTTAGTAAATAATTAGCTTGATTAATTGGCATATTTGAGGCAAACTCTTTGAACCATTAAAGTTGGCACCTTAATGCGTGAAACTTCGGTTATTAGATCAAAAGTCATTCAAAGTGTACATTTTTTCGTCCTGGGCGTTGGTTTTACGTTCAACCAAATTAGAGATCGATAGGCATCAACTTGTCTGGGGAGTAAAGCTGGTCAGTACGCAATCCTGACCATAATGCCCCCATCATGTCGTTGATCACGAAATTATACTTTTGCGCCTAAAACTCAATGATCCCCCCCCCGATCCACAATGGACTGTTGCGAAAATAGTCTTTTATTTATTTATTATTTTTTTAAAATCTCTTTTTAGGAAATGCACTTAAAAGCTCATAAATCTAAATTAAAGAAATTAAAGTGAGAACATCAAACTTAACATGTTTGTTTACTAACACAAAATGACGCAGACGACTTTTGATATGCTGATCGGGTAGATCTTATTGGATAATAAGTTACGATTGAGAAAAAAAAAATTATGTATTTTTAAGAGAATAATCAAATATTGAAACTTAAACACTATGCATTTCAAAAAGTTTTTTCTGTCTTTAAACTTTTTGCCAATTAAAACAGTATGATGCATTTCAATAGAAAATGAATAAATGGCTTAAGCACACGATCTATTATTTTTTATATATTTATTTTAAGACATTTGGGTTGCTGAAATGCATAAAGGTTTAAAAAGTAGTTTTAGAAATACATAAAATAAAAATCGCTTAGAAATTTTAAGTAAATGAAAATGTTTTTCTGTGAACTGATTTTTTCCCCCTAGTAATATAGAGTAATTTTTGGGAACACATTTGTGCGTTACTTTTACTCTTATACTTGTAATTGCCGAGTCTTGAAAATAGACTAAAAGCTAGTTTTTAAAATAATTTAGTCTAAAATATCACAAACAATATAGGTTCAACACAAACTTCTTGGTTATGATGTAAATCTCAATATAATGAGTGAAAATAATCAAAACATCAGAAAATGCATTGAAGTTAGAAATTTTATTTGTCTCAAGTAATAATTCTCTTTCCGAAAAATTTCATCGAAATTCGGTAACAAAATACTTTAAGAAAGCTAAAATTCTATCAAACAGAACCATTTTTCATAACTGAAATAGAATAAATAAAATTTTTACTAAATCGGGTGAAAACTATGATCCCGAAAAATATTATAATGTATTAATTTACTTCATATTAACTTAAATATCAAATTTCAGTTTCCCTTTTTTTTAAATTGAATAGAATAAGTAAAATATTAATTAAATTGGATGAAAATAGTTCTGAAAAATTTCCAAAATAGAGTAATTTATGCAAATTTATGCAAAAGTAGTCCCGCAGTGGACTGATCATTAAGACACGGTTCCCAGCAGATCACCGAAGTCAAGCATCACTGGCTGCGGTCAGTGTGCGGGTGGGTGACCCACTTGGATCAGCCTGCGTAGGGACCGAGGGTGTGCGGTATTGGTCCTCGTTAAACTGTGCTATCGTAAAGTGCTCGACTTCGCGCCCAGGTCGTTGGTCTACCGAAGCGGGAGTGCCATCCCTTCTGCAGAGGATCAAAATTGTGATGGCATGTCTTCGGATCATCCCCAGGGATGTTTCCCAGACCGTCGCCAATAGCCCATTGTGCATCTCTAGTGTGACATAAATGAACTACAACAACTATGCAAATAATTAATCCATGAATAATAAAGTTGCAGGTTTCTTAACATCTTTTCAAGTTATTTTTTTTATAACCGTCGTTGAACAGCCGAATTGGGTTTACGACTACTAATGTTCCCCGTAGCCTTGTAATTTTGAACCCAATCCAGAAGACAAGAGAACTCCTAGATCAAATATTGGGAGAAATTTGCCTGCAAGAAGGGCTTTTTGATGGAACTAACCCGCATTTGAGTTACTTGGTGAGGAAAAACACGAAGAACTCTCATAGTTATCCCGACGGCAAGGGGACTCTAAACCATAATCCGTCTACCACTGAGAATTTTTACGTCAGCACTGTGGTTGGTACGAGGGGGGTGCGGAATTCGTATCGAACAGCCATCGCTCTGATTCGAACCCTGTTCAACTCATTGAAAGACGAACGTTCTATTCCCTCAACCACTACGGCTCTCTTATTTATGATTTGATGATTAAGAAAATTAAAATAAAGTAATTAAATTGTTTGAAAGTTTCGGCTAGTATTACTATTACTGTGCCTTTTGTCAAAATGGATGATGTAAGTACCATGTTCAAAAAGCAAATTCAACCTAAAAAAAAAAGTACTAAAGAAAAAAACAAGGTGCATCTTCTAAAAAAAAAACACATTCCGCAGTAGACTGATAAGATATGGTTCCCAGTCGAAGTCAATATCTCTGATAGTTGTCAGTGAACGAGTGTGTGACTACTTAGATCAGCCTGCGCAGGGACCGAGGGCGCGACGTATGAACCGTTATTAAACTGTTCGACCGTAAGGGGCTCGACTCCAGTCAAACTGTAGAGTATCGTGCAGTTCTAGTGCGACGAAAATAAAGTATTACTAATAGTACAAATAATGCAATATGTATATTAGAGAGAAAAGAAGTGAAATATTGATATTTTTAACTTCTAAAGCTATTTTTTATTAATCAGTAAATTAGACTTTCAATTTTGTGCCAACAAACAGCATTTAAGCATTACCATTATTTTAGGTATGACATTTCTCTATTTCTGTACAATTTATAATGTTCTAACATAAAATGATATTTACACTTATGTAAGAAATGTAATTATGCTAATTATTGCTAGTCTTCGTATTAAAAGAATATCTCGGAATATAGTTGCAAGGAAAATAAAGATATAAAGAAATTGTTTTTAAATTAATTTACTGAGTTGAACTAATTAGTTCAAAAATGTGTCGGATTCTTATACCTAATAATTGTTTAACATTCGGACAAAATAGTTTAGTAACACTAAATCAATGCTTTAACAACTAATAACGTTTTAAAATACATATAGTTCTTTCAATATTTAATAGTTTAAATTCTTTATAATGACGTTTCTTAAAAACTTTACAGAAAAGATATTGGCAACAACAAATTCTCATTTCAAATAATGGCAACACAAATTTCGCCAATAAAAACACTTTCCAAAGACTTTACATGTTTTCAAACTTATAGAAAATGTTTAAAATTATTTCACTACAAAAAGAAATACAATTATGAAAATATTTGTTCTTAAAACGCTTAAAATATTTCTTCTTACAAACATAACTTCAAGTATTTCAAAACATCGCCAATAGCCGATGTTTAGAATTGCGTTTCTGTTCTCTTGAATGAAATCTAAACCATAGTATTTCAATCCTAAAAAATTAACGATATATAATTACAACAAATAATTAAAAACTAACCTGCTATGTTTACCATTCATGGTAAAACCCTAATGAAGAATGAGGGTTAGCAGAAGGTCAGAGAAGGACGGAGTATCCAACAAGAAAATGGGAAAATCAATAATTTTTGTTATCGAAGCACCACGAGGTGGAGAACGAGAAAGCTCAACGTAGAACAGCAGACATTTCCGACTGCCAGATGTATTCTGCTGTAAAAAAAAAAAACACCTTGACTGAATCCGGATGTTTATAATTATTATTTTCTTTTTTGCCTGATTTCTTGGAGAAGTGAGAAACAATTAGCATACGTAGCGTTCTTGTTTGGCGAGAGCATACAATAAGCGTGTTTATGACATACTTTTTGTTGCTTTTTTTTATCATTAGTGGGATAGTGAAAGTTGCAAGCGAGAAGAAACTGATAAAAAGTGCTTAAAGTAGTCTTTTTTCAAGAGAATTTTTATGGCGTTTTTATTTTTTTTGAAATATATATCTAGATTTATTAGATTAATTCAAGATAATTATTTTCTTATTAATATCACCATTAGGCTATCAATTAATCACATAATTTCTATCTAGATGTCATGCAGTTGAAAACCTATATTATAAATTGAATATACAAAAAAAATGTATACTTATAAAAGTAACTTATTTACACAAATTTCTGGGTTATCTTTGCACTGAAACAGTATTACCAAACAGGCATGATTTTGACGATATTTGAATTTTTGGACGATGTTTGAATTTTTGCTCTTTCAGAACAAAATTAAGATTCTTAAAACCGAATTAAGTATTTTTCTGTAATCTTCTCATTTTAAGACATATTTATTTATTTTTATTTATTTATTTGCATTAAAGGACATGTTCCTCTTTTTTTATGACATATTCTTTAACATTTTATTTTATGTATATACATATATATATTTTGTATTGAATTTTTCTTTTTTTTTTCAAAATGAAATTTCAATTTTTTATAACTCTGTTCTAACATATACATTTTAAAAAAAATCAGTGTAGACATCAACATAATTTTTTTCCTAGTATTTTGTCATTTCAGCTTTTAACATTTATTTCAAACTTTCATGAAAATTGAAATTCAATTTCTTGTACTATGTTGTTTTAATACAGCTATATACATGATGATTTAAGAACTTCATTTGTTTCCAAAATTATAAAGATGGTAATAAAAGTTAGCATGTTTCGAATGCTCAAAAATAAGCGTTCATTCTCAAGACTTACCAGACGTGAGTGAGAAAACAATGTGATTTTAAACAGAAAACGAAAAATAAACGCTACTGTTTAAAATCACATTTGTTTTCTCATTCACAACTGGCGACTCTTGAGAATGGGTGCCTATTTTTGAGTGCTCGAAACATGTCGGCATTCATTACCATCTTCATAATTTTTACATCATCCAAATATATCTTTTCGCTTTAGTTTCTTGGGATCATTCATTTAACAATTACATGTCATTTGCAAATTTAGCAAAGAAATAATATCCAGATCTTTAGATCATTAAAATCTAAGCTCCATCCACGCGTATAGTATTAAAAAAATATTATTAAATTAGTTGCTCTGCTAAATAAAACATTATTGGTGCCAGGTAACAGATTAAAGAAAAATATAGAAGTTCACGGAATTAATCGAGATATCCTTGATAAAACTTGATTTGTTCTTTAATATTTATACATCAATTTATTTTGAGTAAAGACATTGACTCTGGCACTTTTTTATGACTAGTACCAAAAATCTTTTTAATGTGTTAATGCCTTACGTGTGATTTTTTATTTTGTTGATTATTTATTCGAAGAATTTAATTCATTACTAATTAATGTTATAGATATACCTTCGTAGAAGTTAAATATAAAAATGAACGACATATTCCTTTAAATGTCAGAAAAAATTAGCAAATCATAAAAAAATTAGATTTTTTTTTTAATTTGGAGGAAAGTTATTTAAGCCTTGTTTATTTAGGAAGACATTATATAAAGCAAAATTAGGAATTGTTGCAAATAAGTACATTAATTTCGCCTGTAACATAATGTAAAAACAATAATTTTTCCCTGTAAGAGAGCTTATGAAATTCGCTAACCAAGGGTTCTCAAGGTGGGGGCGTGTTCCCCAGGGAAGGTACATATTTATTCAGGTAAGGAAGCTTAATATAATGAAGACCGTTTTTTAGAAACAAAAATGATAACAATAATTAAGCAACACGATGTTTATTACATTAAAATTATAAGATAATGGAAAACTTTTCTCTTTTTAAAAAAAAAAAAAAAATCCCAGTAGAGCAACATCACTGGCTGCGGTCAGTACGCGGGTGGGTGATCACTTTGATCAGCCTGCGTTGGGACCGAGGGTGGGTGGTATCGGTACTCGTCAAACTGTTCTACCGTTAAGTGCTGGTCGTCAGGCTACCAAGGCGGGAGAGCCATCCTTTCTGCAGAAGATAAAAATTGTGATGGCTTGTCTTCGGATCATCCTCAGGCATGTTTCCAAGACCATCGCCTATAGTCCATTGTGCAGCTCTAGTGCGACGTAAATGAAATGCTTACTCACCTACCTATTATACTAAAAAATTTCCCTTTTTTTTTATTAAAGTGGCTTCCCTTTCCTTCCATCTTCCATGAAAAAAGGTAAAAACTATTGTAATGACTCGTAAATAGCATAGTCGCGCAGTGAACTGATCGTTAAGACGCGGCTCCCAGCAGATCACCGAAGTCAAGCATCAGTGGCTACGGTCAGTGTGCGGGTGGGTGACCACTTGGATCAGTCTGCGTAGGGACCGAGGGTGTGCGGTATTGGTCCTCGTTAAACTGTTCTACCGTAAAGTGCTCGACTTCGCGTGCAGGTCGTCGGGCTACCGAAGCAGGAGTGCCATCCCCTCTGCAGAGGATCAAAATTGTGATGGCATGTCTTCGGATCATCCTCAGGGATGTTTCCCTTACTGTCGCAAATAGTCCGTTGTGCAGCTCTAGTGCTACGTAAATAAAATACCTAACAACCTACCTATTTTAAGAGATTGCAATAATTTCTCTCTTTGTAGTTCATTAGTGACTTTGAGGTACGAATCATTCATACTGCCTGTCTTCTAATTTGGTGATTTAACAAGCGACTGCATTTTCTGAGAGTTCAAAGTCGTTTCGAGACAAGCATATTTTTGAATGACAATTCCACGTCAATCGTCAATGGGGCGAGCATAAGTTATAGTTTTACACTATTTCTTATGAATTCGAATAAAATTATTTTTTATGCATTCTCCTTTGCATCGTGTTATTATAATATTTTAGACGTACATATCTACAAAATATTTTTTGACAAATATATTATATAATTTCATGCATCACGCGCGGAACAAAAAGATGTAGTCCCTGCGTATCTTTCAATTTTTTACTAAATTGGAAGATAAGCACGGACTTGAATCATGATTCACTCTCTCTGACACGATCCGTTTACGCTACCGGTTTTTGAATTCGGTCTTACAATCTCTAGGCCTATTTAGTGATATTGAAACACGAATCTCTTAGACTACCTGTCCTTTGACTTAAATTAAGTAATTGTAATCACGGAGGTTTCTTCAGTGGCTTCGGGGTCTCGCAGTGGATTGATCGTAAAGACACGGTTCCCAGTAGAACACCGAAGTCAAGCATCACTGGCTGCGGTCAGTGAGCGGGTGGGTGACCACTTTGATCAGTCTGCGTAGCAACAGAGGGTGCGTGGTATCGGACCTCGTTAAACTGGTCTACCGTAAAGTGCTCGACTTCACGAGCAGGTCATCGAGCTACCAAAGCAGAGGAGTCATCCCCTCTACAGAGGATCACAATTGCGATGTCACGTTTTCGGATCATCCTCAGGGATGTTTCCCAGATCATTGGCCATAGCCAATTGCGCAGCTCTTGTGCGACGTAAAATAAAGTACTATTTTTACCTGAGTGACTTTGGGAAACGAACCTGTGACTCAGTCAGGAACCTTAGTTGTTGTTGTTGTTAATTTACGCCGCACTTAGAGCTGCACAATGGGCTATTGGCGACGGTCTGGGAAACATCCCAGAGGATAATCCGAAGACATGCCATCACAATTACGATCCTCTGCGGAGGGGATGGCTCCCCCGCTTCGGTAGCCCGACGACCTGCGCGCGAAGTCGAGCACTTTACGGTAGAACAGTTTAACGAGGACCAATACCGCACACCCTCGGTCCCTACGCAGACTGATCCAAGTGGTCACCCACCCGCACACTGACCGTAGCCAGTGATGCTTGACTTCGGTGATCTGCTGGGAACCGTGTCTTAACGATCAGTCCACTGCGGGACCCTTAGTTTCAAGATCACCATAGTTTTACATTTTAATGTGACTAAAACTTACGATTAGATTTTGAATGAAACTACAAGTCCGATGACGGGTTTCTATGGCGCTATCAACGTAATGTAAGTAAGTTATTTAAATTAAATTTCAAATTACGTATTTACAATAATTAAGAAAAATCTTTTTGTTTAATTTTTCAATAAAGTTCAGGATTAAAGACACATTGAGTTCTCGTTATAATCTGTTTAATAAAAATTTATTTAACAGTAGCTGAATTTTTATCATAAAGTTAGTAATATGTTTTTTTAAGTATGAAAATTGAAAAGTATAACCGATGACGTAAGTAAATTTCTTTTTATAATTCTTATTTTTTTTTTAAATTTATATATTATAACATAATTTGTATTCCTTGAGTGATCATACAGTTGTACTAAAGTCTGCAGACAAAATTCATTTTAAGCATAATATACATCTACTATTACTTTATTTGGAACACTACTATAAATGACAATAAACTAGAACAGAATTTCATCAGTTGATATTTTATCAGCAGTGTTTAACTTGTTTTTATCGATGTATTTTAAATTAGCAATACACATTAAATAGCACATTAAATATTATGTTTTTGACATCGTATTGTAGTAAATTTAAAAACTAAGTTAAATAAAATTCTATGGCTGCGAAATTTTAAATTTTCGATTGTATTACTCTTTTATTGTACAGATATAAGATTTAAAAATTGTTATCAATGTAAGAGTATAACAATCGTTAATTTTTAAGTTTGAAAACTTACTTTTGAAAAATCTATTTTTCATAAATTACGATATAACCCAAACAACTTTCTTCAAAACTCCATTTCACAAACATTACGCAAATATCCTGAAATTATACTTAATTTAAGAAATTGATTTTGGGGATAATTCATACACAACCGCTTTATAGAATCAAAAATATTTCTTATGTGCTTAGGTTCTAAACTTTAGATTAGGACAAAAGTAAATGATCATGCATGGTAATTCCTTTTTTTAAACTTTTAACCGCCGTTAACTTTTGTCTTGTTAAAGAAC